CCCATACTTTTGTTGCGTTTTACACTACTTTGAGAGGTTTTAATGCTGATTGATAACGTCGTTCTGATATGATAAGAGAGTGATCAGTTTGATCAGATGATCAGATGATTGATTGCGATATGATATGAGACGACAGAAGACAACAGAATACAAAATAGTATCATTTCTATTGTGATGATGATTTGTTTGCTCATAAATATGATTGGAATATGACTAGATTTTGGGCAATTTTTTGGGTAATTCTTCCAAAATTTTACCAGCTACTATTCGTTAAAATTTGCCCATAAGAGGCGATTGAATCGATGAAGTGATGATGGGTAGGTAGATGGATGGGTAAGTAGGAGGTATAGGAGGATGAGATGATGACCTTTTAAACATTTGTGAATGTTTTATAAAGATAACGAAAAAAACTACTAAGTAGATCGATAAATATTGTTGCTAAGAGAGACGAATAAAATTTACTAGCTTACATAATTTTAATCGAGTCGAATTTTAGCAAATTTAATAAATTTCTCCGTGGTTTTTTTCACTTCTGCTGTTTATTCTTTGTGCTGCTCGTTGTGATTGAATGAAAACTGAGAATTGATCAAATCGATCTGATCGATCAGAAATCGATCGATTGCTGAATCGTGTGTACACATGCATGATCAAACAGTAGTGGCAGTCATGTATATGTTACTGTTTGATTGATTGTATTGGACGTCAAGGACGTTCAATTTCAATTCAATTGCTGATTTTCTTTTCTCTTTAATTTTCTTCCTGTTCCAGCCAATCAAATTCTACTGTTTCAGCCAATGTGTGGAGCGTTTTTTTGGAAATTTTGGAAAATTTTGAAAAAATTTGAAAAAAATTAATTTTCATAAAATTTTTACGATTAGGGGATAGGATTTCAGGATAGAAAATCCGCATTTCAGCAGCGCTTTCGTGAGGTTTTTAGGCGTCGTGATTAACGTCTCTAAAGTGTTAATCTTGCGGTGATTTTTCGAGATATCGGGATTTAGATCAGATCAGATCAGATCAAGATTAAGATCAGATTTTAAAATGTGCGATCAATTCATTGGTGGACAGTATCAGCAGGATGGTGCCGAGAATTTAAACGAGTATATGGAGGCGAAAGGTGAGTTGTGTGTGAAAGCTGCGAAATTTGTTGCGAAAAATCACCTGAATTTGAAATTTTTCCGAAATTTTTGGGTGCACCTTGGATGGTTCGTGAAAATGACCTGAAATTAAATTTTTTCGTTCGGAAAATTTCAGGGGTACCATGGCTGGTGCGAAAATTGATCACCGGTAAAATGAGTAACCATTCTTTTCATTTGACAAAATTGCCCGATGATGACAAGTATAAAGTCGTTCTGGGAACCAGTAAAGGGCCGATGACGTACGAGTTTAAATTCGGT